ATTTATTTATTATGCATCTTGATAATTTTATCATATTTTGATTTGTTTTTTGTGCCATTTTAATAGAAAACTACAATAGAAAACAGGAAAACATGTGTTTCTTAAAAAATTGCGGTGGAATAAGTTCATTCTCCGTAATCGCTAATAAACTTTCATGTCCCCTCAGAGGGGACAACCGAGTGATATGCTAGACTTACGTTGTCCCCTCAGAGGGGACAACCGAGTGCAAAGGGTTAGATTTTCTTTTTACTGACATGATAGGTATAAAGATTGTTTAATTCTTTTAGGGAATTATAACCTAAACATGTGAACGTAACGAAGAATTACATGTAATTAAAGTAAGAAAATATCGAGAACAACTGAACCACGAGCCAGGCTCGTGTTGTTTACGTTTGGTCCGAACGAAGTATCACGAGTCACGCTCGTGCTTATTGTTTTTGGCCCAAATTTCTTACCACGAGTCTCACTCGTTGTTGTAGGACAAGGGTTGTGTAAAATGCAATTTAGCACTATCTTATCAATTTTCGGTCGCATCTCTTTAAACCAAAAATCTCTTCTTACAATCGCTTTTGCTTTATTAACGCCAAAATGACCGCGTTCATGAGCCTGACGAAGTATTCGCATTGATTTCGACACAACCACCAAAATTTCTTCTCTTCTTTATATAGAATATCATTTTTTAGTACATAATCGTTTACCATATGTTCAATATTATCACGAATTTCGTCCTTCACTTGGGCTTTTCTTAATCTAACCATAATACTTTCTTGGCTTTTCTCTATTAGCATGGCTGTGGGCAATGGATTAGCTTAACGTGTCAACATGAGTCATATTTCTCCCGGGCGGCCTATGCTCGATTTGATAATTAAACTCTTTCAGAAGTAAGACCCATCTTGCCACACGAACGCAAAGATTTTTTTTACGCATTGTCAATTCGAATGCTTCACAATCGGTAATGATCTTAAACGATATACTCAACAAATAAATTCGAAATTTTTTTAGCGCCTTTGTGATTGCAAGTACCTCAAGTTCATAGCTTGAATATTTTTCTTCGGCCAGTATAGTCTTTCCGCTCGCGTAATACACCGGATGGAAAAAACTATCTTCACTATCATGTCGTAACAAAATTGCGCCATAACCCATATCACGCATCTGTATGTAACTCAGTTTCCGCACCTGTTCGATACAATTTCAGAACCGGCTTACTACTTAGAATAATTTTTAATCTTTCAAACGCTTCTCGCTCTTGCACTCGAACTTGAATTCGACATTCTTTCGCAACAAATTCGATAGAAGTTTCGCAGTAATTCAATTGAGGCACTTTCTAAAATATCCAGTTATATCTAAAAAACTTTGTATGTTTTTCGCACATTTCGGCTTTGGAAAATTTACTACTGCTTTAGTCTTATACTGAACATTTCCCATCTTCAACGATGTACCCTAAATATTCAACTCCTGTTTGCAAAAAGCTACATTTCTTCCAATTAATTAACAGATCATGTTTACTAGCAACATTTAGTACCGATTTCAATTTTTCTATTTTCTGCAGAAAATCGACAGAAGGTATTATCAGGTCATCTATGTATGTCAAAACAACTCCCGATACTATCAATTTTTTAAACACTGCATTTATGAATTTCTGAAAAACGGCTGGAGAGTTGCACAATCCAAATGGTACTTTCATGAATTGCTAATGACTCGATAGAAACGTGGAAAAATCTGTTTTTTAGGTCTAAAGTACTAAAAAACTTTTGCACCCTGTAACAAATCTAATTGATCTTCTATTAGCGACAGTGGGCATCTATCTTTTCTTATTTAGCTGTCGATAATCTACACAAATTCTTGTTTAACCATATTTTTTTTTTTTTTTTTTGACTAAGACGACCGGGCTAGCGTAATCCGAATGAGACGGCGAAGTATTCTGTTTGACAACCAAGATGCTATTTGCATATCTATATCTACTTCGTTTTTGTGGAGACAACCTACACGGCCTTTGATACACCGGAATGACATCTTGAAGAATTAAACTCATCTTAACACTTACTGCGCGATTTTCGAGGTACATAATTTTGAACAAGTTCTTTTATCGTCTGCTTGTGCTTTTAACCGGTAACGTGAGACAAGTCTAAACCATCCATTTCAGCTTCGACTTCTATTCTAAGAAAAACGTTTGGAATTTGATTATCATTATTATTTATTTTGCGAATGAAATATTTATTTTATAATTATTTATTTTCCTCCTTCGTATTCAATTCAACAGTGTTTAGAAAATCCGTGCGAACTATTAACGCGTGCTGCATTAGCGTATCTGACACTACATGAATTGTCATTAAATATGACGTGTTAATGAAATATCTACTACTACTTGTGTCGCAAATTCTCCTAAAGTATTATTACTTTCAGAGCTGATACGAAATTTTAAAATTCTATTATTTAATTTTGGTACTCCTATGTTAATATCCTACCTTAATATATTGGTCAGCTCTCATTAAGGTCAGATCACTAACATGATCGCAGCGTAACCCTTATCAATCAAAGCAATCAACTTACAATGCGCTATCTCCACGGTTTATTTGTGACAAATACGATGCGCTACGTGTATCCTTCGACGGTTTACTTGATTTACTGCAATTTGGAGCAATATGTCCATATTCTCTGACTCTGTTTTCCACTCGTACGACTTTCTTCTTTTCAAAAGAAAAGCGCTCGATGCCAACACATCTCGTGCTTCTCACATCATACTTTCTCGTTCACGCATCTCCAGCAAACAGGCCAGTTGTTAGAAGTAAAAGTAACTAAAAATATAACTACACATTATAATAATTTTGATATTGGACTATGTACATATATTCGTAGCTGTATGTTATATTAAGCAGTCAATTATTAACACGTGCCACGTGTGCCACCGATGGCACACGTTAAATTTTTCATTCGGGCCGCGTGTACCACCAGTGGTATATTTATTTAATGCGCTAAAAACATATGTTTTATAACATTATATTTCCATCAAAGGAATGAAACATTATAAAAAATAACAGTATGGAATAAAGGACATAAGTTTGTTTAATTGTTATATGTACAATAATTAATAATTACATTTAATGATTCACTTTGTTAAAGCAAGGAATGCATAAAAAGGGCTTGTTCGGATAATTGCTGCAAAACTTCACTACTCTTATAGTTCTTTTACATTTTGTTAGAATATTTTTTTTACATGGGATAGGAACCTATTTTCCACAAAATATTTCTCGGACTTTGCAGATTCTGCAAAAGCCTGTATGTGTTGTAGATTACAATAATTCAACGAGTATAGTAGATAAAGTGGACATGGTAATAAGTACTGTACTCGATTCAACGCGTAAATCGTTGAAATGGTACCGGGAACTTTTTTTCCATCTAATTGACATTTGTGTGTGGAACGCGTATTGTCTTTATAAGCACAAAAGGAACGAAAACATATCCATGGCAAAGTTTCAATTGCAATTGATAAAAGAAATAATCGATAAGTGTATCATCACGATTATATCAAAAATCAAAGAATAAACACTGATAATCCCATGAAATTAACAGAGAGGTTTCCCTCATTCATCATCATATATACCAAGAGGAAAGAAAGTCGGAGTCGAAGATGTGTGGTTTGTAGCAACAAAAGATCGAAATCAAAATATGATTGTAATGTTACGTATAGATCCTTGTTTTGGAATATACTACATCCAATTACATTACTAGCCGTTATACGTATATTAATATATTATCTAATTTGTATTTCTTACCAATTATAATAAACGTTTATTCATATAGTCTGTAAGAGTATAAATATCTAAAAATCTGTAAACTTGTAGTTGTTCTAGTGTAACTAATATAATTAATAGAATTTTATATAAATGTCTCAATATTAAAACTTTTAATATTAAACGACACTTGTTAGAAGAAACATTGTTTTATTAATAAGCACAGTTTTTATTTAACACTTAGGAAAATCTTCATACAAAAGAGGACTGACCACGCGCTATGTGTGCATTTTCGGAACGGAGCCTCGTACAGCGCTCGTACCGAAAGATAATTTTAAAAAACGAAAACAGAGATAGGACTCTGTTAAACTCTTATCGACCAAATGCGTTTCTGTCTGTGGTCGGCAAGAAATATGAGAAAATAATAGTGAACAGAATCCAACAAACATATAAGGACGATGGTCTGGAAAGTCCCTATCAGTTTGGATTTAGGCAAAGGAAAGGTATCGATGATGCCTTCTTCAGTATTAGAAAAGCAGTTAAATTCAATGACAAGCAATACACAGTTGTGTTATTTGTAGATATAGAAGGAACGTTTGATAACATCTGGTGACAGCAGTGCTGACGAAAATTATTAACGCAAACTGTAGTTCTCATATTTTCAAAATAATTGAGAGTTACTTTAAGAATCGTAAAGTGATTGTGCAAAATATGGCAAAGTGGAATACAAAAAAAAAAACAAAAATGAAAAAAGGCTGTCTGCAAGGGTCAATAATAAGATTAACAGCGTGGAATTGGATGCGCTTCTAAATAAGTTGGAAGAAAACATGCCCAATGAAAACGTGAAAGTAATTGCAGATGATCTTGCATGTGCATTAAAGGAAATACCAGGTCGGAATTACATACTCATGCTGGTAAGTTGATCGAATTATTGAACGAGTGGTGCAAGTTACACAAGTTAAAAAGATATCGATTGCATAAATTGTAGCCATGCTTGTGAAAGGGGGAGACTGGCACAACAACGTTTGCCTATAATAAAAATTAATGGCAAAAATATAAAAGTATGTGGATAAAGTTAAGTATTTGGGAATAATTGTTGACGAGAAATTTAATTTTATCTCACATGTCAAATACTTAAGAACTAAAATAGTTCAATACGGCTGAAAATTGGGGCATAAAATCCAACATAATAAGAGTATCATACGGGACGGTTGTCCTCTCAATTGTGAGATATGGCTTAGTTTTGTTGTATGATGTGGTAAACAAGATCTTGGTGAAAAGAAACCTGGCAATTCAAAGAGTGCTATTATTACTAACAACTAAAATACAACTTCGACGGTAGCCATGGAAGAAATTGCTGGATTTAAACCAATGGACATGGAAGAAACACTAGTTGAGAGAGTAAAAAGAAATCTAAGTACTTGAGATAGCTTCTGCTATAGAGAAAAAGAAAGTAGTCGGTTTGATGAAACATTGTGCTCAGAAATTGAGAGAACGAAATCATTCATTAGAAGCAAGTGGCAGGATTTGTGGGAAAACGAAATTCATGGTAGACATATGAGTATATACAGAATGTGCCCAAATACACCCGTCTGTCAATTTATGCGAATATCCGTTCCACGTGCATTTGATTTACGCGGATAAGAATCGTGTAAACTGAATCTGTTAGTATAAAAGGAAAAATATTGGAAATAAAAGCTAGTAAAAGTTTTAGAAATACATGTATACATATTTATTTCACATAATTTAACAAAAAAAATAAGTAAGACATTTCAGAAAAAACAGAAGT